AATATGGCAGCTCCTAGTACTAGCTGTAGTCTCTTGCTTGGTGTGTTCTGTACACCAGGCAGTGTGCCAGATTTTTAATAGTGTATTTTGCTTCTAGAGCAGAAATCCTAAAACATACTTATTCAGCAAAAACAACAAACTGTGATTTTTAAAATTTATAAAGATTAAGACAAAAAAAGAGCTAATGAAAAGACTCAAATTTATGCATGTTTCCCAAAATAATTTATCTTACTATGAGTGCTGGTTTGATTGATCACTCTAAAATATCCTATGCTATATTTAAGAACAGATATCAATGGGTTCCTCTTATTCAGCAAACCTGTATTTTTGTAACCTGTGAGCTAAAAGTGTGACCCACATTATATCTTCTGCTACTCTATAAATCAGTTCTATTGTCAGAATTTTCCTAGGAAAAATTAAATTAGCAAATACAAGCCTATAAAAAGTTATTTTGAACATGTATTTAGCTTTTAGAGCGTTTCTAATCTAGCCGTTAAAAAAAAAGCAGGGCCAAAAATTAAGACTACATAAAACAATGTAGTAACTCACTGTTCTGTTGACTCCTTATACCCAAATCAATTCTGACAAATTATCTTTATTTATTTATTTATTTATTTATTTATTTTATAATTTTATTTATTCTCTTTCCCCCAAAGCCCCAGTAGATAGTTGCATGTCATAGCTGCACATCCTTCTAGTTGTTGTATGTGGGACGCGGCCTCAGCATGGCTGGAGAAGCGGCGCGTCGGTGCACACCTGGGATCCGAACCCGGGCCACCAGCAGCGGAGCGCGTGCACTTAACCTCTAAGCCACGGGGCCACAAATTATCTATTTTTATAAACAAAACCCATATGCTTACTTTGTCCCATCTTGATATTTTTATATAAGTAGTTATTTCAAATTAACATTTTTTGCTCAATAAGTATAACGTGTTTTAGGCTAGAAGAAAAGTAAGTCTTTAAAAGAATTTTTTTTTTTTTTTTTTTGTGAGGAGGACCAGCCCTGAGCTAACATCCAACGCCAACCCTCCTCTTTTTTGCTGAGGAAGACTGACCCTGGGCTAACATCCATGCCCATCTTCCTCTACTTTATATGGGACGCTGCCACAGCATGGCTTGACAAGCAGTGCGTCGGTGCACGCCCGGGATCCGAACCGGCGAATCCCGGGCTGCCACAGCGGAGCACGAGCACTTAACCGCTTGCGCCACTGGGCCGGCCCCTAAAAGAATTTTTAATTAGTTCCTACTTCAGATATTCAATCTTATGTCTATTCCAGGCAAGTGGATTATAATTGCCAACAATCTATTATATCAATAACATTTTCAGAAATATCCAACAGTGCCATTAATATTTGCTGAACTGAATGAACTCAGGCTTCCACTGGGTTTTATTTTTAAACTTGCCATTTTATAATTTCCAAAAAAGCAAAAATTATCCAAACATTTGTTATTTGATGGTCATATACATACCTTTGGATAATTGCTTCGTGAATTCTACGATACATGTAGCATTCTACAAACAACCACGGTGAGTAAAACCACCTTGGTTTTCCATCACTTTCATTTAAAAGACTCTGTTGATGTTCCAGGTACTGATTCCATATATCAGTATCAACAAACTTCTCAACTAAGGGGATAATTGGTTTATCTGTTTGCAATTCATTCCGTAATTTAGAAAGAAGAGAAATAGCTTTCTTTTCAGCTTCCACACCTCTCTGCAGAAATATGAAAAAAATTTACATATATAAATATATACAAATACATATGAATAATCTATATATAAGTAACTTATATACACACACACACACACACACATATATATATATATAAAATTCTTCTAGGGTAACACATTTTTATGGACCTAAACTTAAGAAAGAAAAAAATATGACATTTCAAAGCTACATTTTGTGTCTTTCACAAACTATTATCAACATTCAAATTTAGAACTCAAGTTGAAAACTAAAGAATATACACACAGATCTCATATCAACATTATCCTGCCTAATGTTTTTTTGCCTTTTTTTTTAAGTTTCGTCTTATAAACTAGAATTCTTTATCTTTAGGTGGAATGACCATGACCACAGATGGAAAACTGCTTATTGTTTCTGTTAAAGAATTAACAAAAAAAACTAAAGTTAAAACACAATTCTTACCTCTCCATGTTTCTCAAAAAATTCACTTTTATGTCGATGCAATGTATCAATAGCCCTGGTCAGGATCTGTGGTGTTCTGTCTTTAACTGTTAGATATGCAAATGATCTAGAAAAGAGAGTCACATACACAATATATTACTTAGCAGCATTAACACTAAAGGTTGGCCATCTTTCAGTTTCAGGAACACTTTATTTAAATTAAAATTCCTTTTCATACAATCAGTATAAGGAAAACCGGTCTTGTCTGTCTACTATATCAAGACAGGAAAACCTGAAAACTTCTCTGGTGTCTCTTGAAAGCCAAGCAGTCTTTGCACCTCTCATCCCAGATTCTCCCCTGAAGTCTGTATAATCATTCTTATCTTACCCATTCTATCCCTTTTATTTTCCTTAATCAGAAACTAGTTTAGCAATGTGATAGGACAGAAAAAGGAGCCTAAAAATCAAAAAGGCTCTCCTCCAAGGTCTATTACGTACTAAGTGACTTCACCTACTTAGAAAGACGAATGAGGCAATGGATGTAAAGTTGTCTGGAAGACTCTAATGTGCTAGACGTACATAAAGAGTGAAAGATATTGACGAACCTGCTTCTCTCTTTTCTATCTATATTCAGTCTATATTCTTAACCAATTTTAATTTTTTCAAAGGTTTTTCCGGCTGCCTTCTCTATCTCACAATGACCCCTTCCATCCTGTTCTGCCCCCAAACAAAATCAAGGTATGATACCATTTCACTCTTCCAACCAAAAATTCAGACATTTTCTAGACGTGTCAAAGAATGAAGAAAGCTGGAATGAGTAGACTTCCATAAAAAAATTAAAGATATTCTTGATTTCAGACATACAAAAACCAATATTTTCAAATTATCATTTTACATATAATTGGTTTGTTACAGAAATACATGATTCAGTTAGAAAAAAACAGACTTTAGTAAGTGATGAAATTCTACGCAGTTTTTATTTTTTTTATTTTTTTGGAGGAAGATTAGCCCTCAGCTAACATCTGTTGCCAATCCTCCTCTTTTTGCTGAGGAAGATTGGCCCTGGGCTAACCTCCATGCCCATCTTCCTCTACTTTATATAAGACACAGTCGCAGCATGGCTTGATGAGCTGTGCAACGGTCCACACCAGGGATCGGAACCCGGGAATCCCGAGCCCCGAAACCAGAGGGCGCAAACTTAACTGCTGGCCAGTGCAGTTTTTAAATAGAGAGCACAGAATTTAACTGAGCAGTTCATTTATATCTTCAGAAACAAAGTAAAAATGAAGACGTTGATACAATAATTTTGAAAATACCTCTGCCCAAATCACCATTCTAACTTTAATTTGGCATCACCACACCTCGAAAATCTCAAGTACCTTATTGCAATTTTTAAAATATTAAAAGTATTTATATTATTTGAGTGTTTCTTCAAGGTTTCCTCAAATGGTAGCTAAAAAACTATAAAGCTAGACAAAAACTGCAAAAACATTTTCTGACTGTGATGCCTTGAGTATCCTCAGTGACTAAGTTTCAGTATGCATAGTAACTACTATGATCAGAATTTAACTTTTAAGAATCACTAATTCCTTGGAGGAAGAGAAGGAATAAGAAATCAACTGACACTTAAATTTTCCAAGGCAGCAGATACAAAAAGAAGTGACAGTCCTTTGAGATTTAACTGGAAAGAATTACTATTTATTTCCTCAGAGGCCTGTATCTCCAGGATAAGGCCCCACCCAGGTCAGGACAAGGGTGATGCCAGAGGCGCCTACGGCTCAAAGTTTAAGGACGCAAACACTCTATACGTGCACGACACTGAGTGAGTGTCTGCTTAAATTTGGGGGCCATTGGTACCTCTCTGGCCCCAATCTACTCCCAGTAAAGTCACTTTCTTCTACGTATTCTTGTGCTTTGCAATATTTCGGAGAAAGGACATATCTCAAAGATAAATCTGGCCCTTCAATTTATAAAACGGATATATATATATATTTTTATGATCGTCCACAACTTTACCTAGAATCTGTGACATAACGCCTAAAAAGCAAAAAGCTACAGGCATTTTTAATAGTGAGATTATAAATTACCCTGATCAGCAATACGAAGACATACATTTCTCGATAGATCTGAGATTCCTAACTTTTACAGAGAATTTTAGCCCCCCAAAAGTGCGTTTAATAAACCCAATAAATATGATTAAAGCCATGAGCTGTAACACTCTGAAAGGGGAAGAGGGGGCATAAACTCCCAAGACAGTCACGCGGAAGTAAAAAAATACAGTATCAAGTGACTTGAAAGACCAGTTAACTGTTCGATACATATTACTATGAGACTATTACAAGGCCCGAGCGACCACTGTCGAGAGAGGCGGGGGTCACCGCAGATCTGAGCCGGGGTCGCAGCCTGCGCGGTGCAGCCGGGGACGAGGCACCCGTCGCCTCCAGGACGGGGCGCAGAGCCGATCGGCCGCCTGGCCCTCACTCCCCGGCTCGGCTACACCGAGCAGGCGCCCCGGGCAGCGGCGCCCGACGGAGGGACTGAAGCCCCCGGCCGCCGCGGCTTCCCCGCTGGCGACCCACAGGTTCCCGGCGGGCCCGGCTTCCCGCAACAGTGGGGAGCAGGACAAAGAGCGGGGGGCCTGGGCGAGGAGAGCGACACGAACCCCACGTCCTGGGCCGAGAGCGACGCCGGACGCCCCGCCATCCCCGTCCGCGCAGCCGGCGCCCGCGCTCCGGCCGCACCCGCCGCAGGAAGAGAGGCGGTGCCGGCGCGAAGGAGGAGCTCCGACGGGGAGGGACGTGCGTTAAAAAAACGCTTTTGAATGAAGAAACTTTATTTGGGACCCGCAGAAGAGACCAGCAATGGCCGGCGCGAGGACGCGGAGATCTTCCGGGGACGAAGGCGGGGCCAGCGGCGGGCGACGAGAGAAGCGGAATCAGGAAGCGGCGGAAGGCGGAAGCAGGCAGGGACCGGGAGGGCCCAGGGACTGGGGAGCGGAAAAGGTCGCGGCGGCGCGGGTCACGTGGTCGGGCAGTCACGTGGCCCAGGCGGCCCACGCTCCGCCGGGCTCGGAGCTCAGTGCGCCTGCGCGGTGCCCGGGCTGGGCGGGGCGCTGGTGCAGGGCTGGCTGCGGGGAGCGGGAGCGTGTCGCCGGGACTCTGTCTCTGCCTTGCAGCCTACCGCGGAAGCTTGCGCTCTTAGTGCGTCCCTCTTGTCTTCCGGCGGAGAGGTTAGTGCCCTGCCTTTCTCTAGCGGCCTGTTTGGTCCCGCACTGCGGGACCTTTGCTCCCGGCCGCCCTGAGCCTCTGGTGTCACAGGTTTCACCGGTACCGCTATGGCCCCGTGCCTCTTGCAGTGATCTTTGGCCGACTTAGCTGGAAGCAAAAAGCACTCGATCCATAAACACTTCCTGAACCCTTTTTTGAGCCAGTGCATAGCGGTAACTGCAAAGATAAAATAACGTTGAGTTTAAGGAATTGCAAGGCATGATCCCAAAGATTAGAGCAATTTATCCGTTGAATCGGAGCCCAGCTGATAGGGTTTGCTTAGTAGAAAATGTGCCCGAGAACTGAGTAGCTGCCTTGTATTTCATTCAGGAAATGTGAGTTATATATCAACTGTGTGCTGGACACTGTGGTCACGGAAGACACAGAATGAACAAAAAAATCTCTGTCCTCAAGAAGCTTACATTCTACACGGAAGAGAGAGACAAAAATCTCCTATCCGTTCTTCTATTTTTTTTCCTTTAGCATTGTCGCTATTTAATATGTATTTTGTTGATTTACCACTTTTGTCTGTCACCCTCAATGTGATCTAAGGTTCAAAAGGTAAGGATTTTTCTCTATTTTCACCTGTATTATCAGCAGGTAGGACAATGTCTGGCGCGTGGTAGGAACTCAGTTCATATTTGTTGTATGAATAAATTAGAAATACAAGGTATGCAAGTGATGTTAAATGCCATGGAGAAATATAAAGTGGAGGAAGATAGAGAGTGGGTGCTGGTTGTGCATTTTAAATGAAGTGGTTGCGGGAGACTTCACTGGGTGGGAGACATTTGAGCGAAAGTCGGAAGAAGGTGAGGGAATGAGACTTGCAGATGCCTGGAAGAAGAGCATAACGAACAGTAGGTGCAAAGATAGAGGCCAGAGTGACAGGAGCAAACTGAGCAAGGAAAAGAACTGAAGGAGATGTTGGCGTGGTGATAAAGGGCCAGAGAATGTAGAGCCATGCAAGCCATTTTAAGTCTTTGCCTTTTATTTCAAGAGAAATGTGAAGGCATCATCAGATTTCATGGAGAGGAAACTTGTGATCTGACTTAACTTTTCAAAGGATCACTTTGGTTGCTGTGTTGATAAGAATCTGTAGGAGGCCAAGCACAGAGGCAGGGAGACTAGTTAGGAGGCTATTACAATAATCTGTGGGAAAGAGAGCAACTTGGACCAGGGTACTAGCTGGTTGGTGGTAAGAACTGGTCTGAATAAAGTTAGTGGGATTTGCTGACAGATTGGGTATGGAGAATGACGAGTCAAGACAGACACCAGGTTGTGGGCTTTAGCAACGATAATGATTGCTATCTCATGAATGTGGCATACTGTGGGAAGAATAGGATTTGCAGCAAGATTTCAGAAGCTGGATTTTGAGCATGTTACATTTTTTATGCTTATGAGAGTGATTTAGAGATAAATATTTTATATTGATTAATGTATAGGTGTTATATAGAACCACAAGATGGGGTGAGATCACCAAGAGCTGAGAATAGAGAAGTGGCCTAAGTACTGAGCCTTGGCTCATTCCATTATTGAGGGGACAGAAAACCAGCAAAAGAGACAGAAGGTACAACCAATGGGGTAGGAAAATGGCCAGGGTGGTATCCTAGAGGTGAGTGCTTCAAGGAGAGTACGGCTTACAGCTGTATCATATGTTGCCAATAAGTCAGGTAAAATGAAGACTGAGAAGTGACCTTTGGGCTTAGAAATGTGCAGGTCATTGGTGGCCTTGACAAGTGGGTTTTGCTAAAGTGGTAGGGAGGAAAGCCTGATTGGAGTGGGTTCAAAAGAAATCAGAGAAGAGGAATTGGAGACAGTGAATAAAACATCTCTAAAAGGAAAGGAGGGGCCGGCCTGGTGGCGCAGTCGGTTAAGTGCGCGCGCTTCACTGCGGGGGCCAGGCGTTCGCCGGTACCGATCCCGGGCGCACACTGACGCACTGCTTAGCAAGCCATGCTGTGGCAGCGCCCCACACAGTGGAGGAAGATGGGCACAGATGTTAGCCAGGGCCAGTCTTCCTTGGCAAAAAAAGTGGAGGAGTGGCAGATGCTAGCACAGGGCTGATCTCCTCATAAATAAATAAATAAATAAAAGTGATTGCTATTTAAAAAAAAAATAAGTGAAAGGAAAAGAGCTCAGAAAAAAGTGTAGTATATAGGAGGGAAGATGGAGTCGGAGAGAGTTGTTTTTCTAAGATGGGAAATGAAAGCACAGTTGTCTGCTAATAGGAATGTGCCAGTGAAGAAGGAAAAATAAATGGCATGGAAGAGGGAGGGGAGGAGGGCTTACTCATTCCTTCTATAGGCAGGAAAGGATGAGATTCAGTGTGCAGATGGGGGACCTGGCTCTAGATGGGACCACGGGCAACTCATCTGTAGCAGTAGAAGGGAAGACAAAGTATAAGGGCACAGAAGCAAGAGGTGGGCAGGTGGATGATGGCAGAGAGCTTGTGGAAGTTCTCTTCTGATTGTTTCTGTTTGTCAACAAAAGGTAAGCAAGGTCATTGCTTACCTTTTGTTGCATCATTGCATCATTGCATCATTGCATCATTGATGCATCATTGCATCATTGAAGATGAGGAAGCATTGAAGGTGTGAGGAGAGAGTGGAGAGTAGAATATAATAGCGAAACATAGATAAGATTGTTGAGCAGCATGGAAGGCCCACCTAAAATCTGGTCATGATTTTAGTGAGACCTGAGGGCACATGGTTGGTTGGTTGGTTGGTTGGTTGTCTCTAGCTAGAGTCAGCTGCAGGAGTACAGGCACAAATTAGGTGAATTATATTTCGTTCAGGTTGAGCTTATGTCACATGGGTATGTGGAAGTGAGAGGGTTACAAGGGATTTGAGGTGTATGGAAGAGAGAGATTATAATGGTAGACCATGGAATGTCAACTGGGTGTGGAGGAAGTGAAGTGGGGAGTGAGGGGCAGTGAAAAGGTGCTTGGATCATTGAATTGCAGGTCCTGGTGGGGTTGAAGAATTGTTGGAATTGGGTAATAGAAGAAGTGAGCTGGAAAGATCGGAGGTGGTGGTTGGGGAGTAGAATGCTTGAAATTGAGAATATGAGGTTGCAGTTATTGGTAATAAGGTCTAGAGTAGTGCTGTTCAATAGTAATAAAATCCAAGCCACTTACGGAATGAATTTTCTAGGAGTTTTAAAAGTAAAAATAAATGGGTGAAATTAATTTTTAATTTATTTAGGCCAATAGATCTAAAAATGTTTCAACAAGTAATCATTATAAAAATTATTGACATATTTTACTTTTTTGAATTAAGTATAAAGTACAAAAAAATTTTTTTTTAATTTTATTGAGCCACATTTCAAGTGCTCAACAGTGGCATGTGCCTAGTGACCACTGCAGCTTGGAGCATATGACCTTGGGAGTGAGTGGCTGAGAAAGTATGGAAGACTAAGATAGGTCAGGGAACTTGGGGACCAAAGGATGGGAAGAATCGTGCCCTGCACTGATCTGCATGGGTATAGAAACCATCAAGAATTGCGACAAAGGACAATGTGGAGGAGCGTGTGAATTCGATGCTAGAAACATTGCACAAAGCTGTTAGGGTAATTAAAAGTCTAGTGTACTTTTTTTTTTTTTGGCTGAGGAATAGTCTCCCTGAGCTAACATCTGTTGGCAATCTTCCTCTTTTTGTGTGTGAGCTGCTTCCCCAGCCCGGCCACTGACAGATGAGTGGTATAGGTCTGAGCCTGGGAAGCAAATCCAGGCCGCCAGAGTGGAGCACGCTGAACTTAACCGCTAGACCACCTGGGCTGGCCCCAGATCTAGTGTACTTTTTATCTTTAGTTTGTAACAATTAAAATTTCACTTTCCTGAGATGTGTTTTAGTTTTTAACAAAGACTAAAGATTTGTGTGTGTGTGTGTGTTGGACACCTTAAATGCTTCACCTCTGTCTTTCTCAGCAAAGATAGAAAACACACTTGTTTGTCCTGTAGCTTTTACATTCTTTGTCCTAGTGCTTCACATAGCCTCCATAGGAAGGGTGTCTTTAGAGTTTGCAGGTAAGAGTTTCCTAGAAGAGAATGAAAGAATCTAGGTCTGTGTATACAAATTTCTAAAATTTTTTATAATTAGTTTCTTCAAAACCCCCTAGTTCAACTGGCAGGGAATAGTACTATTAAAGGTGAACTAAAATAGCTAGTTGGACTAGAACTAAACAGAGAATTCCAACTTTTGAAGATATTTTGAAAGTAGCAGGTTCACCTCCTGAATATCCCTGTGACTCATCTTTGTCATGACTCATCTTTGTCGTCTTCCTTCTAAAGGGAGATAATATGGTGCAGTGGTTACAGTGTTGTCTTTGGAATTGGAAAAACCTGGGATTTAAACACATCTCTGCAACTTGCTAACTGAGCAGTTAGCCTTTCTAAGCCTCAGTTTCCTCCTCTGTAAAATGCCTCATAGGGTTATGATGAGGTGAGGCAGAGCGCTTGGTGGGTAGAAAGTACTCAGTAAGTAATGTCTTAGTCTCTCTCAGTTCCTCCCCTATGTCGTTCCCAAAGACATGTTTCTTAAACAGATTTGACCATGTGAGTCTCACATTTAAAATCTCTGGCTTGGGCCGGCCCCGTGGCTTAGCGGTTAAGTGCGCGTGCTCCGCTGCTGGCAGCCCGGGTTCGGATCCTGGGCTCGCACCAACGCACCGCTTCTCCGGCCATGCTGAGGCCGCATCCCACATACAGCAACTAGAAGGGTGTGCAGCTATGACATACAACTATCTACTGGGGCTTTGCGGGAAAAAATAAATAAATAAAAAATAAATAATAAAATCTCTGGCTTCCCCCCACACATAGAAACTCTTTAGGATCAGTTATGATCTGGCCGCTGGCTCCTTTTCAATCCTGATCTCCTGCAACTTACTCCTTCCTCCCCTGAAGTTGCACCCTGCTTGTCAGGTAAACAATACTGTGTACCTAGGTGTTTGATTTCGTGATCCCTCTGCCCTTTTGAGACCCAGTTCAAATGTCACCTCTGAGATATGCTGCACCCACCCCTCACCCCCGAGGCTCCCTTCTCTGTGCCCCACAGCGATTGATACACAGCTCTGTTTTAGTACTTATCACGTTATTCCGTCTGTTTTCCCTGCGAGACTGTGAATTCTGAGATCCTCGATTCATACCTGTATCTCCAGCGCCTAACATGTTATTTTTCAAAAGAATTATTGATGCCTACTAAAGACTTACTTTTAAAGAGCAAATATTTTCTACTGTTATAAGGGGAGAAATTACTTATATACAGTTTCCTTTGTCTGGAGTATGTGTGTATGTGTGTATATATGTCTGTCTCATCCTGTACCCCCATTGCCATACCCGCCCCCAACCTGAAAAGCACCTTCCCCTTGGAGAAGCAGCTTAAATCTGTCTGGGAGCCTTTCCTGACTCTTCTTGTAGAATTAGGCGAGCTCCTTGTGTGTTTCCTCAGCACCTTGTACTGTCGTTCTTTGTAGGGCCTATTCCACTGAGTTAGAATGAGCGACTAAAAATGCCTGTCTCCTCCAGGAGACCATTGGCCCCATGATGGCAGGGACCCTGTCCTTTCATGGAAGCATCCCCGGCCCTAGCTCACTGCTTATCTCAATGTAAAGGCTCAATAAATTTTGAATAAAGGAATTTGTAAGTACAGATTTTTTTAAATAGTTTTTGGTTTTTTTGTGTGTGAGGAAGATCAGCCCTGAGCTAACATCCATGCCAATCCTCCTCCTTTTTTTTCCCTTTTTTTCTTCCCAAAGCCCCAGTAGATAGTTGTGTGTCATAGTTGCACATCCTTGTACTTGCTGTATGTGGGACGCGGCCTCAGCATGGCCGGACAAGTGGTGGGTCGGTGCGCGCCCGGGATCCGAACCCGGGCTGCCAGTAGCGGAGCGCAAGCACTTAACCACTAAGCCACAGGGCAGGCCCAGATTTTTTTAAATAGTTGATGTGCTAATGAAGTAAATGAAGAGAGCCCAGCACTCTATTTTTCTTTTTTAAGGTCCTTGTCATGTCAGTAGCTTTATAATCTTGTAATCTTCCAGCAGGAAGGCCAAAGGTTGACTAAAGAGAAAGTGGTGGAAATACGTATATTTATTTTTTAACCTTGTTGCTTTTACTAGACTTAGGGTAAGATGCAACTTTTTTTTACAGAAATATGCCTATTACCTAGGACAATATTATATAAATTTTAAAACATTTTTAAAAGAACTTGAACTTTGAATTTTTTATTTATTTTTCTTATAGCTTGGGATGTGGTAATGTCAACCAGACTTCTCAGAGCCCTGGCCGGATCTCACTGTATTTTATCAAAAGCATATCAGTGCCAAAGACTCGTTCATCGAACAGTAAAACCACTTAAGAAATTTGAGACTGTAACATGCAGCACCCTGACAAGAAGTCAGAACTCGTATTTGTTCTTTCCTGGTCCAGCAGCTGATGGTTTGAATAAGTTCCGGGTCCTGGAAATGAACCAGAAAATATCAAATACAAGCACACGCTCTCCATTAAACACTGTGCATCGCCAAGAAGAAAAAGCACACCTTCCAACCAGGAAGTCTTTTGGTACTCACAGGAAAGTGACTCACAAACCAAGTCTGTTAGGTTCTAAGTGGTTTATAAAAATATTAGAGAGGCATTACTCATCTATATCAACGGAAACACTTGTTCCTAAACAAGATTTTCCCCAAATTAAGAGACCACTAAAAGCATCGAGGACCAGGCAGCCCTCCAGGACCAACCTCCCAATTCTGTCTGTGAACGAGGTAAAAACTTGTGGTGGTTGCACTTCTGTTTCATGACAATCGCTCCCTCTCCAAACGAGTGTATATCGTACCACAGCCTTACTGCCAACGTAAGAGAACTGGCGAACAGCTCAGCATTTTTTTCATCAAGATCTTTGAAGCCTAATAGTAAAACCTTTATGTCTAAAGGGAACCAAAATCTTAAGCTTTTTGGCGGGGGGTGGTGGGGGAGTGGAGATTGACCCTGAGCTAACATCTGCTGCCAATCCTCTTTTGGCTTGAGGAAGATTGGCCCTGAGCTAACATCTGTGCCAGTCTTCCTCTATTTTGTATGTGGGACGCCACCGCAGCATGGCTTGACGAGCAATGTGTAGGTCCACACCCAGGATCCAAACCCACAAACCCTGGGCCACCGAAGCAGAGCGTGAGAACTTAACCACTACACCACCGAGCTGGCCCCCAAAATCTTAAGAATTAGTGATACATATAAAGACAAAATATAGGCAATGAAGTCTAAAATTATAGTTTATGAAAGGGTTAGTTATTGGCCAAGGAAACTTTGAAAAAGAAGACTAGTATTAAATCCAGTCTAGGAATGGTAGTGTAAAAAACACCCATTTAAAAAGAATCAAACTGTAGAAATTCTTCATTAAATTAAAAAAAATTTTTTTAGTAACTACGCAGACAGGTAAGCTTTCGTTAGCCGATGGTGACTGCGTGGGGTGGAGTGGTGAAGTGACGTGGTGACAGAATCAAAAAGCAGCAAGAAGGTTTTTGCTTTTTTGTCCTTTGAATGTTGAAGGGGGTATTTTTATTCACTAAAAGGTTTATGGGAATTTCTCAGCTACCATCACATTTCTCCTAAATGATCAATATTTAAGATCTGGATCAAGCCCTTTGTTAACCTTTGTATCTTGCATAATACCTAGAACTGTGCCTTATACTTAATAAATGTTTATTAAATTGGAAGGAATGGAAAAGAGGCGAAGGGATCTTTGATGTCTCTAGTCAATCAACATGAAAAATAGGTATGTAGAATATTTAAAACTTGATCAGACCTGCTGACTCGTTCAGAAAACAGGCTAGAATGTCTGTCTTAAAATCTGGATTCTGAGAAGTGGACCCTGAGCGTGTTTCATTTGGTTGTGTGTTTACTGCACAGTTGAGTTCCTTTGAAAAAGTATCGAGACCTTCACTAGTAATCCTCAGGTTATGAAGTTAGGTGTCGATTAATGATTTTTATTTTGGATTCTAGTTTTGTTTAAACTCTCGTATGGTTTCTCTGAACCCCAGATAGAAAGGATTGAAGAGTTATGCGTGTACTTCTCGCACCCCTTTCTTCTTCCTAGCTCCTGATGTTTTAATTACATTGTTTAGCTTTGAGATAATCCAGGAAATTCAGTATTTAAGAGACTGAGATGAAATTAAGTGTAAAAGCCTGAATTCATGGCACATCCAAAAAAGAGGAAGATCAACTCGCTTTTTCCTTTTGTTATATCTCGCAGCACAGAGCATAATTGGGTTTCTTACAGAGAGGCTGGTGAGGTCAGAGATGTCACTTTTCTGTAGTTATTGGTTGAAAATTGTCAGAGGCGTTTCTTTCTTTGCGCTGTCCTTGGACTCGGAAGCAATTTTCCTGAATTTGTTTTTTATTTTTCTCTGGGATTTGTTTTTCCTGCTTCCAGGAAAGGATTTGAAGTAGATTTTCAAAATTTAATGCAGGTTCAAATGACATAATAGAAGCATTACATTTAAGATACAGCAAACAATTGACATGAACAGAGAAATAAATGTTATCAAGTACCTGGTGGGAATAACTAATCTAATTGAACATTTAGTTCTGAGAAGCCCAACGATTAAAGAAAGGAGAGAATCCTCCTGGGTGGTACATTTCTTGTTGTCTGACGGGGGGAAAACATAAAAATGTCTTATGAGAAATAACTTTCTATCACCGAATTTGAGTCATATATTTCCTGCGTCCTTATAGAGGAGATATTATATCATATAACAGATGTGACATCAGTTGGAGTTTTACAAAAACAAAAACAGCATGTTGTGTCTCTAAAAGCACAGAGAAATAGAAAATCTTACATTTCTGAAAGCATTTCTAAGTGTTCGGAGGTAATGTAACTTTGGAACATTATTTTCGGATGATCTTACTTTTCATAGGTGAACACAGTCTTGAGGTGTTACTAGGTACTGTATCCCCGGGGCTGAACACTGGCTTCTCTCTGCCCCAAATGGAAGACCCCTCCATCTCCACATGGGCATCATGGGGCTGGCGAATCCTTTGTGAGGGTAGAGCCCTTTCTCCCCCTCTGGACTGAGGCAGGAAAGGCCTGTGCTATACCATAAAGTAGGCCTGCTTTGTCTTGTTCCCCACATGTGCTCCTATCTCATCCTCGGAATTGACTGAATGAGGTTACTCACCTACCCTCCAGAGTGGAATCAACTCTTTACCTGGTCTTTGCAGAGCTCATAACCTGCTGAGATATTCCACCCACACCCATTGGCTCGTCATTTCTCATGGCAACCACTGTGCTGCTTGGGGGTGTGTCCTGTCTTTTGGGAAGAGAATCCTGGAGGATAAGGACCACTGCTCTGAGCATCGTGGAGCCGGGCGGGAGAGGGAGATGCCAGAATGCCCAGTAGTGGTTTCCAGGCTCACACCACAGTCTATTGTAAAAGTAACTAATGGGTTGTTAATAGTTGTTTGTGTTTTGATAGAATAGAAAATATCAGAATGCATTACTCATGGTAAAGGTAAATACTATTTTGTGAAGCTTTGTGTCAGTTGTGTGTGTACATATATGTATATGATATGTAGATATGTACTGTGTATATGAAAGGATTTCTCACCATGGGTTCTAGTCAAAAAGCTTAAAAGCTAAAGCATTATACTAGTAATGTAAAATCTATATGTGTTTTATAACTTTCATTTACAATCTGTACATAACAGGAAAAACATGCACTTTTCCCTTAGTAATAGAGAAGCAATATTGCTGTAATGCACTAATTTTCTTCAGTAATAGAACATGAATAAAAATAAACTTGCCTTTTTAAGAAAAGTGTTCCATCAGAGTGTGTGACACCCTAAAACAAAAATCATATATAGATTTCTAGCCCCATCTGCTGGAACATGTTTTCCCTTGGCCAGAAAAATGAAACACTTAACTGAAACACAGTGGTTTTCTTGGCTTTGGGTTTTTTTTTTTTAACATTTTAAAATAGACCTAAATTTAGGTCTGAAATCCAATAACTATTTTAGGTTGGTTTGGCACATTTATTTAAGAACAAGTTGTTGATCCCCATCCTAAAACCTGAAATTTGCTACATGTATATATTTAATGCTTAATAAGTAATGATTCATTATAAAAATCCAGAAAAAGACATGTATGAAAATGAAAGCTTCTCACAAAGTAACAACCTCTTTAATTAATAGGGAAAAAAATGCAAAGACAGGACACTCCATGGTCCTCTTTCCCTTTATGAAATGGATTTAAATACAGTCGTTAAAAGCAAAGGAAATAAAACCAAAACAGGAGATGTCTAACAAGTCAAATTGAAATCTTTGTGAATCGCTTGTTAATAGAAGAAGCCATAACTTTAATGGAGACTCGGATCCAAGATGTTTAAGGAGGATACAGAAAGGGGTGTGGCGAGCCATATAAGCTATGTGACGTTGGCTAGAACTTTGAGCCAAACTCAATAGGACATGGTAAGAGAAGGAAGGTGACAATCTTCAGAAAATCTACAAAAGTCCTTAGAATAGCTACGTAAAAACCAATTGTGTTTAAAAATTTACTTTTAATCTGACTGTCTGGAGCTCAGAATATCTTTTTATAATTTTTTTTTCCCCCCGCTGAAGGAGGATTGTCCCTGAGCTAACATCCATGCCAGTCTTCCTCTATTTTGTTTGTTGGATGCCTCCACAGCATGGCTTGATGAGCGGTGTGTAGGTCTGCTTCAGGATCCAAACCCTCAAACCCCCGGCTGCCCAAGCTGAGCACGGACTCTTAACCATTCTGCCACCGGGCTGGCCCCCAGGGCATCTTTTCTCGTGGAAGTAGTGATTGAATGCTTTGTCTTGTCTCATTTTTGAGCATGCACAAAAGTGCATATTTTTAGCCCAGATGGGCCAGGTCAGTAACATAAATGATGGTGAAGCAGGCCGGAGACAGTGGGGAGTGGGAGGGACTGTGTGAGCTAGTGAACCTGGTCCCCCTCCTCAACCCTAGTCAATTATTGCCAGGTCTTCTGCTTGATCAAAAGATGGTGGAGATCTGGATTTGGTGTGAAATCACAATTGGTTGTTGACAGTTAATTCAAATCTTAAAAACCTGATGTGGGTTGACTCTTGAGTTGGGTAGATAGTTCTCTGGGCTGCCAGTTTACAATTCTGATTCTAGAGACAGTCGGCCTCTACCATTTCCAGTACAGCTATGGGAAGATCTTCCACTGGACTGGTTCTTGAGCTTTTCCTTATCTCCTCTCTGCTTTGCACCTCCTGCTTTTCCCACTCTGGCCCAAACTAAGCATGTCAGCTGTAATAGTCACTGAAGTAATTCTGACATCCAGCCTAATATACTGTGATTTTACTTAGCAAGCTTCAGCAGATTTGTCGGGTCTCGCAGAGTAGATCCTGGGTATTGTGGCCTTACCTGATGTCTCTTAACAGTATTCCTTTCTTTCAGCAAACTTACTCTCGTATCCTGTCAGCTCTTTTTAACTCCATGGAGCCCTAAAAGAACGGATGGTGCTAACAGTTCTAAACCTTAAGCACATAATGATTCCTATAATCCAGTAACTATACTGTGGCTGTTTGGATCCATATGTTTTTGTGTAGCGGTGTGTTCCTACCTTCATATGTGACTGTGGGAGTCAGCTTATCAGGTACCTGCAAAAGGAGGGTACTGCGTCCATTCATCTTCATGTTCAGCAGTTTCACCTTTGTCTGACTTTTTATTGTTTTCTAATTGAATTAAAATCATTTTGCTTGAGTGGATATTTTATTGCTTTTAGGTTTTTCAGTTTGTGCGTATCCTCAAGTCCTCTGTTTATTCCTCTGCTCCTTTTTTTTTTTTTTTTTTAAAGATTTTATTTATTCACTTTTTTCCCCCCAAAGCCCCAGCAGATAGTTGTATGTCATAGGTTCACATCCTTCTAGTTGCTGTACGTGGGACTCAGCCTCGCGCTGGACGGAGAAGCGGTGCCTTGGGGCGCGCCCGGGATCCGAACCCGGGCCGCCAGCATCAGAGCGCGCGCACTTAACCGCTAAGCCACGGAGCTGGCCCTCTGCTCCTTTTTAAAGCACACATTAGACTGTGTAACAGATTGAGGACAAGGCAAAGCAAGGTTAGGCCGTTTCTTGAGAAAGGGCCAGGAGTTAGGTAACAGAAGTGGGAGGAAGGGAGGAATTAATATACTACTTTTCTTGAATTTCATTCTAGGAGTGGAACAGAAAGGGAAGGAATTTAGGAGGTGAAATGAGTAAATCCTAGGAATAAATTTTGATTTAGTGACTCATAATCCTCTTTTGACCAGTGTTGGGCCAAAGCACCATATGTCAGTAGAATCACTAATGTTCTGGTCAATAGATTTTAAAATATAAAATTATGAACATGAAAATTCAGGTGTAAATTACTTGATAAACTTTTTAACCTCCTAAATTTCTTTTTTTTTTTTTAAAGATTTTATTTATTTATTTTTTCCCCCCAAAGCCCCAGTAGATAGTTGTATGTCATAGCTGCACATCCTTCTAGTTGCTGTATGTGGGACTCGGCCTCAGGATGGACGGAGAAGTGGTGCCTCGGTGCGTGCCCGGGATCCGAACCTAACCTCCTAAATTTTGATGGTTTATACTATGTGCAATAATAACTATAATCTAACAAATGTTGAACATTTGTGCCAGTCATAGCTCTGAGCAGTTGACACTCATCAGCCTCTTTAAACTTCACAACAGCCCTATAAAGTAGGCATTATTGTTATTCTGATTTTTTTTTTTAATTATTCAAGGGCCAGCCCTGGTGGCCTAGTAGTTAAGTTAAGGACGCTCTGCTTCGGTGGCCTGGGTTTGGTTCCCGGGCACAGACCTACACCGCTCTGTTAGCTGCCATGCTGTGCTGGCGACCCACATACTGAAAAATAGAGGAAGATTGGCACAGATGTTAGCTCAGGGCGAATCTTCCTCAGGGGGAAAAAAAAAAAATTCAAATTCTGTGCCTGAACTCTACACGCCTATGTCAGTAGTTTTCAAACTTTACTGACCACATCCCTTCATGAGAAATATATTTTACATTATACATACATAGTGACTCAGTACACATACATAGGCATATATGTGACAGAGAATTGTATAAAATTTACCCTTACTATGAGTAATGTGCTATAATATTTTCTACTTGAATTTTTTTAAAAAGCTAGTTTGGGCCAACTAAATTAATATCAGGACTCACTAATGGGTTGTGATCTACACTTTGACAAAAACACTGTGCTATGCCATCTTGCTTACTGTATGTATGTTGTACAGACACACACAACTTGAGTGTATACGTGAATACACAGACGAGACTCATGGTGCAGGAGGCAAAGCAGTTAACCACCTGGACACATTTTCGGATTTACAGAACTTTCTGTTTAATATTAACCAGAGTAAAAACTGTGTAATTCCTTTGTAGATTTAAAGAAATCTCTGCCAGTACAAGGCTAGTGACATTATCAAATGACCTCAAATAGTAATGTTGCTGTGAAAAAGATCCATGGGAACTCGGGATTGGAGAGACTAAATATCGTGTCATCCGGGTGCCCGTATGACTATCTTGTTCAATCTGTGCTTGAAACACAGCCAGTTGGGGGGCAGCTCCCCTTTCAGGATAGCCCATTCCATTTTTTTGGCCACCAGGAGAGAGTTCTTTCATAGATTGAGCTGAGCTCTATCTCCCTATAACCTCTTTCTCTACGTCTTTATCCTATCCCTTCTATGAACCTTGGAGATGTTTGAAGAAAATTCTCGAGTGCTAGCTTTGCAAAATGGAGTTTTGTAAGGTGACAACCCACACAGACACTTCAGCCTCTTGGTAACCCGTGTCATGCTAATCTCGCTGGAACAGGACCTGATGCACTGCACAGCATTTGCAACAGCAGATGAATATCATCTTGGAAACCTCTCTCAAGATCTGACCTCTCATGGATATGTTGAAGTAACAAGCTTGCCTAGAGGTACATTTTCTTGAACCTGGGGCTAAGTATGTGACAATATATTAGAAGATAATTTTCCTATGATACTGTCTTAAATGTGCATTTGTTTGCATTTTGTTTTCTATTGAAAGGAGTGTATCACAAAAGTGATGTGGAATCTTTTTATACAAATGACAAAGATAAGAAGTTAAAACGTATTTATAGAGAACTCAGTTCTCAGATTAAAGTCAATATGATTTATTAAGCTTTATTTGTAGTATCACTATTACTTGGGATGATCAAAGGCCATAACACTTCATTTCTGTCACATTAAAAAGTTATTTTAGGGGCTGGGCTGGCCTGGTGGCGTAGTGGTTAAGTTCGCGCACTCTGCTTCGGCAGCCCAAGGTTCGCAGGTTCGAATCCCAGGCACGGACGGCATCCTGCATACAAAAATGGAGGAAGATGGGCACAGATGTTAGCTCAGGGCCAATCTTCCTCAGCAAAAAGAGGAGAATTGGCAACAGATGTTAGCTCAGGGCCAGTCTTCCTCATCCAAAAAAAAAAAGTTTTTTTAGTATTACAGAAGAACCATGAAATTAATAGAAATGTTGGGGAGAGCCTTTAAAGAACACTTTACCAGTACAATCCAATACTTGAAAACTAACAAAATTAGTTGAAAGATAAACAATGAATATTAAGAAAGAGAATTAAAGTAAACTTAGGATTTTAGGATAGTATCTGAACGGATCGTTGAGAAAATAGCCTGCTTTACATGAAAAAATAAATAACTTGGAACGCTTCGATGGAAATTCATGAATTTTACTGCAACATAGCAAAAATAGTGAGTGAAAAACCTCCCTGCTAAATAGAAAATTGTTCAAAGAGTCATTGACCCTGGAAGAAACAGTGGAAATGTCATCATGCTTTTTCAGCCTTGATTATCTGAGCAAACAATTTGTGCTATTTGATGGCAAAAACAAACATAATTGACTTAGAAAAACAGAGCTATGTCCAGGGCTCCTGAGATAAAAAACTGCCCAGGGGTATCCTTGGCTGGTTCCAAAGGCGGGTCAGCAGAGTGACCTGGTGCATTACACGCTTGAAGACTCCTCGTCCCATGCTCACTGCCTTGGATCTTGCCATGTCATTCATGTGGCTCTTGGCTACATAGGTGAACTTTGACCTCTGTAGGATGTAGCACTTAGGGAAGTCACTCAAAAAAGGTGCTTTAGGATTTGGTCTCCATCTGAATCCCCCATTCCCCAACCTCTACCAGGAACTCTGAAGCTTTGAGGATCTTAATTTTAGGTTAAAAAATTACATATTATAGAATATATACCTATAATAAATATTATAGTAATATATAAGGCAACTACTTATTGATGAATATTTGTATATTTAATATTTATTTATTTATTTATTTTGTTTTGTTTTTGTGAGGAAGATCAGCACTGGGCTAACATCCGTGCCCGTCTTCCTCTACTTTATATGGGACGCCGCCACAGCATGGCTTCACAAGCGGTGCGTCGGTGCGCGCCCGGGATCCGAACCGGCGAACCCCGGGCCGCTGCAGCAGAGCGCACGCACTTAACCACTTGCGCCACCGGGCGGGCCCCGTATTTAATAATATTTAAAAGATTAAAATATTTAAATAGTTCCAGATGAGTCCAGTGGTTGTTCTCACGATTAACTTTGAAATCAGATATGTTTTGAAATGGTCAGTGTCTTTGTTTCCATGTATTTTCTGTTCTCCCACAACTTAAAATTCAGTAGAATGGGTAGTTTGAGAATATTCAAATTATATTATTAATAAAATAATATTTAAAGGAAGAGACTGTATTAATGGTTCTTCAAATTTTAAGTTAATTTTGTAGAAAGAAGTTTAATTCTTCAACTGTAGTTGTATTGAAACTAAGACTTTGGTAATTATTAACTGGACTAGTGATTACTGAATCAAAATGCGTGTGAATGAGTAGTTTTAAATAACACTAGTCATAGTACCACAGGTTGTGGAATGTTTTGTGAAAGTAATTCTTAGGGTCTTTTCATTTTCGTATGTTAACTGCTTTCAGAGACCTTAGTAGAAAGATGGACATGTGTTATAGAGCACTTAATGGTATATGAAGATGTGATCATAAGTACTTTACGAAGGGTTTATAGGTGACTCTTAAACCTTGTGTCGGGCCGGCCCCGTGGCTTAGCGGTTAAGTACGCGCGCTCCGCTGCTGGCGGCCCGGGTTCGGATCCCGGGCGAGCATCGACGCACCGCTTCTCCGGCCATGCTGGGGCTGTGTCCCATATACAGCAGCCGGAAGGATGTGCGGCTGTGACATACAACTATCTACTGGGGCTTTGGGGGGAAAATAAATAAATAAATAAAATTATTAAAAAAAAAAAAAAAAAAACCTTGTGTCACCTTGTGACATAGCTTTTGGCTCATGTATTTTAAATCACAGATGCAGCAAATATTTTGGTGATGGGTGTGGAAAATTCTGCAAAAGAAGGTGATCCTGGAACAATATTCTTCTTCAGGTAAGATGAGAAAGCAACCCCATTGGGAGATGGACTCATGGTCAGGTAATTGTGGTCTTTAAAGGTGCTCTTAACGGTAAATGTGTTCAAAATTTATTTGTGATGTAAATCACTTTATCATCTGATTCTTATTTGCTCTAGGAGAGTTTGTCAGTTTTAGGAATCTTCTGGTAAACCCTCTTATAAAATAAAGAATTTTTAAAACCAGGAGATAATCTTCCCCTGGCTTGTCTTTATTAGTAAATCGGGGTTTTCATTTACTAAAAATGCATAAAGCACCCTATTTCCCATTCATCCACAGTTCCCCTTACCAGACTCATGCTGCGTGTCCTGCTGGCTTTTCTTCCTTTTCTTTCTTCTCCTTCTGGAGCTGTTTAGCTCAAGTTTTAACCCATTGTACCTCTCCAGAGACTTCAGACTGGGACCCTGACTCACATACACTTGTTCCTTTTATTTAAAAGTTGTTTTAGTACCAAATGCTCCAGAGTAGCTGAGTGGGAATGGTAATGATTATAGAAACCATTTAGAATAATTTCATATTATTCTCATAACATTTGAAGAAGGTCTGTTATTCCCATTTTGCAACTGAGGAAACTGAGGGTCAGAGGGATTAAGTGAATTACCCACAGTCATGGGACTAATAAGTGGAAGAACAGAAACACGTGGAACATCCATAAGAATCCAGACTTTTGTGGACTTAGTCCTGATAGTTGATGATAACTGGAAGCCCTATCTTTGTTCCTGCCAATGCCTCACCTTCCTTTTGATGTTACTTTGAAGATAACCAAGAGTTCCACATTTTGTCCAAGTAGAAGAGCATCCCTTTGATTCAGCTGAGCAATTTGGATTTCTGAGCTCCTCTAGATCAGCACCATCCAGTAGAAGTGCAGTGCAGGCCACAAATGCAAGCCTCATATGAAATGATACGTTTTCTAATAGCCATATTTTTAAAAGTTAAAAAAAAAAAGAATTTAATTTTGAACAACACTAATAATAATATCACATATTGCCTGAAATTAATTTTCATGATGTATTTTATTTAACACATCTAAAATATTATCATTTCAACATGTCAATAATTATTAATTAAATGAATTGAATTAAATAGTAATTACTCAACAATTAATGAGATCTTACATTATTCTTTTCATACTAGGTTTTTGAAACCCAGTGTGTGTTTTACACTTACAGCATCTCTCAATTTGGACCAAGCGTATGTCCGATGCTCGGTACCCACACGTGGCTTCTGAGCGCCATGCTGCACAGCACATCTCCAGACAGCACAGTTCCCGAGACCTCTCGTCTGCCTAGAAGTGATTCTCTGAACTAACACTCTGGCTGTGGCTTTAAATACCTCTCAAATCCGTATTCTGAGACTTATGCTGGCCTTTCGCAATAACTTACTATCTGGTCTCTGTGCTCTTCTCACCCCACCACCAGTCTGTTTGTCTGTTGTAGGCAGGATAATTTTTCAATAGATTATTCTGATCACTGCAGTCTCTTGTTTAAAATTCTATGGAATTTGACCAAACTCCTTGTCACAGCACCAAGTTCCTTTGGGTTTTCGCTCCCCCCGCCTCTAACCTGTCTGCGCACTACTTGCCCACATCCACAGCCGTTCAAACTAGTAGCTGTTTATTCTGAGACGTTGCTCTGCTCCCTCAACCTTCTCCCTGAGCCCAGAGCGTTCCCTCTGCTGTATCGCCTCCTCTCGTCTTTTCATTTAGCTAGCTCTGCTCGCCCTTTAGGAACTGCATCCTTCCGATGTACATCAAATGTATTCTGCATATAACCCTGTTACAGCACTGATCACATTCTGTTGTAATTGGTGTCTATGTATCAGTCTTTTCTAGATTGGGAGTTCCTTGAGGATGGGATCTAGACCTTACTCATCTTTGTCTCCCAGATGCTAAGCACAGACCCACACATATACTAAGCACTTTGCTTGAGAAATGTTCGCAGAATGATATGGGGCCATCGTATTTTTACCTTTCTTTCATGTCCCCCTTTCCTTCCTCCAGTGCAATAGCCACAGCCATAATTCCTTTTTTTATTTACTCCCTAAAACATCTCAATATGTCAAACTTCAGAAGTCAAAACAAGTTTGTTTGTAGTTTTTAGACCTTAAATTCTGTCAAATTGGATTCAGAGGGCCTCCTATGGCTTCATTGTAATTCTGCTGTAAGTGTTGTAAGGACGGTGGCATTATTCCCTGGCTGCCTTCAGCCGTCTGAGGCTTTAATCTATCTCAGTCTCTTTATTCCACATTAAAAGCATGATCCTTTATTCTTTTCCTATAGGAGAATTTGCCTAATGAGAGCTAAGATGAATCTCGAAAATTTCCTTATTCTGATTTCTATGCATCAGAACTGAACCAAGTATAGAACAGTCTAGATATGTGATGTTATATAGTATTAGAATCATGCATCACTTAACAATGGGGATACATTCTGCAAAATACATTGTGAGGTGATTTTGTCATTGCGTGAACATCGTAGAGTGTACTTACACAAACCTAGATGGTACAGCCTACTACACACCTAGGCTATATGGTACTAATCTCATGGGACCACCATCGTGTATGCGGTCTGTCATTGACCAAAACATTGTTATGTGGCGCATGACTGTACAATAGTAATTATTTATTCTGCAAACCTTGTGAGAAATCATGAATTTTTGAGAGGTCAGGTTTCATCAAGAGTTCAAAAAGTAGCTCTTGTTTAGCAAATCCACCTAAGAACTATAATGTCAAATCAATAATAAATCGTATTTTTTTAAGTTGCTTTCTGGATACATTCTAGAAGTTACCTAAGCATGGCTTTATGTATGGTCCTAAGGAATGTATTCTGCCTTTAACTTAGTTGATTCTTTTATTCTTTTAAATCAGGGAAGGAGCTGCTGTGTTTTGGAACGTGAAAGACAAAACTGTAAGTGTAAATAAAGTTTTAACAGTATAAAAATTTAGTTTTCTGAGAATAAGTTGTTAATTAGCACTCAATAACCTGAGCCACTGGAAGGTAAATTAACAGATAATCCGCTACTTATTTGCTCTGCATTATGTGATATTTATCCGAACAGTTTCATCTTCTAAAATATATTGTATTTTGGCTTCTAAGTTTCCTACATTTTCCATTCTCTGGGCACACACTAATTTGTGGAGAATCAGAACAATCCTAGCTACACTGCAGACAGAAGGAATTATACTTTGTATGTGAGAATCTACAAAATGAAAAATGTACACACAGTTGACCAGCAGCTGGGTGCACAGAGTCTTATTTTAGATCCAGTTTTCTAGAACTTTATCACTCACAGGAAGTAATTTCTTCAGTGTCCCAGTCAGGATTTGTTTAAAACAACCTTTTTAGAGGCAGTTTGGTAATACACATCAAAGCTTTATATTTAACTCAGCAATTTTACATCCAGAAAGTTATCCAAAGGAAATAATCACAGTTATGCATGTGAACGATGTACAGAAATGTTCATCAATGCATTATTTACAATAGCAAAAATGAGAAATAACTAGAATGCATAAGTAGGAAGTTTGGTAAATATATCCATAGGATAGAATATACTACAGCTCTTAAAAATCATGGACAAGAGGGGCCAGCCCGGTGGCACAAGCAGTTAAGTGCGCGCGCTCCGCTGCAGCGGCCCAGGGTTCACCAGTTCAGATCCCGGGTGCGCACCAACGCACTGCTTGTCGAGCCATGCTGTGGCGGTGTCCCATATAAAGTGGAGGAAGATGGGCATGGATGTTAGCTCAAGGCCAGTCTTCCTCAGCAAAAAAAAAAAAGGAGGATTGGCATGGATGTTAGCTCAGGGCTGGTCTTCCTTACCAAAAAAAAAAAAATCATGGACAAATTCTTACTCCTAGGAAATTGCCTGTGTATATCATGCAGTTAAATTAAAAGAGCAGGTTACAGAATATAACCAATGTAATATCAGACCTGGTTAAAATATATGCCTCATAAAAATCTCAGTTATACTAAAAGGAAGTACCTGCCACACACACACCCACACACATCCACACACACACATTCCCACACACACACACCACGGGGTGGTGGGGGGAGAGGTTTCCTAAAGAAAAGGAAATATAAGTGACCAGTAAATATAAGAAAAATGTAACGTAAATTGGCTACTTGAAGTGGCGAAGATGTAAAAGGCTGATAATACCCAATGTTTTTTAAGAATGCTCTCCTAAATGTTTGGATTCTAAAATTGAAAAAACTGTTTTGGAGAGTGGTTTAGCAATATTTACCAAAATTGTAAGTGTGCATGTCTTTTGATCTAGCAATTCCTAAAGAAATATTCCCACAAGGCCACAAACATACACACATAGGATGGTGTGTTGCAACATTTTAATAGTGGAGAGTAGAAATAATCCCCCATAGATGGGCATTTGGGATGGTTAAATAAATTGTGTTTCTTCCATTAAGGAGAATAGCATTGAAAATGTCTATATGCATAGTATGATACCATTTCATATAAAAAGCAAGATAAATGTATATATACATATAAAAAAAATCTGGGAGGATATGCATCATGTTTAATGGTAACCTTTGGGGATTAGAAATTCAAGAGAGCAGAGAGATTGTCACTTTCTATACCTCTGTGTGGTTTAAATTTTTACAAGTATGTCAGTTAGACTTTTTTTAAAAAGATTTAAGGATACAAACAATAATGTTACTCATGGTTTTCTTTCGGTTGTGGGATAATGATAATTTTTATTTTCTTCTTTATACTCATCGGTGTTTTCCAAATGTAAAAACAAATGAATACGTCGTCCTGAGGAGTTTAATATCGCAATGAATTTGCCTTTTCCTTAAAAACTAAACAATAGAAGAAATGTCATCAAATGTCATGAAAAGTGTTATAAGCATTAACACTATAACGTACTTCTGTACTGAGGGAGTCAGGTATGATTTCAGGTTCATCTTCCTTTTCTTCTAGATGAAACATGTGATGCAAGTTCTAGAAAAACATGAAATTCAGCCCTATGAAATTGCACTGGTACACTGGGAAAATGAAGAGCTTAACTACATAAAAACAGAGTAAGCAACTTTTTATCAAATTTATGAAAAGCGCAGTTGGAATAACTTGGTAAAGCAGGAGAGGAGATAAATGATTTATGAATTTAGAGGCTATTTTTAATAAAAATGTTATTGTATTTAATAAAAAATACAAAGCCTGAAAATATAATAAGTATTAGAAGATAAACATTATTGTTTTAACTTCTCAGGCTACCTATAAATTAAAACAAGTAGATAGTATAACCCCGAAACGGTAAGTTTTCTCAGCAGCCTAAATGAGTAAAATCATATACCTTCATCAGAATGAACCTATCAAATTATTCTGGTAATGTTTTCTCTTAAAGAAGTCCATTTTTTTCCCTATTGATTTTGGGTTTAAAAAGGAAGCATAGCAAGGGTCTGATCTAAGAGAACCCCTTGTAGAAATGGGGGTGCCTGCAAGAAGTGTGGGGGGGCTGACATACTGTTCTCAGGTGAGATATAGGAGTAGACAGTGTACCAGCTGATGGTCCTGTCTCAGCTGGGAGGGAGAAAATGAAGAGAGATCTTAGGGCAGAGAGAGAGGGCAGTGTGACCAAGATTGGAAGATCTTTTTCCTCCTGAAGTTACCTGTCCAGTGGAATATGGAAAAAAAAGAAGTCTCTATATTGAGAAAGGAAGTGATGAAAGTAGGGCTTTGGGGAAATGTGGAAGAGACTCTAGCTGTAGAAAGACCAGGTGGGATAAGAGCTAAGTAAGTCATAATGGCCAACAGTGATTAACTGCTCTCCCTGTGCCAGGCACTGTTGTAAGTGTAAAAGCCCTGTAATTGCTGTTAACTAACTTTCAGATGAGGTTCGGAGGTGTTCTGTCTTGCCTAACGGCACCCAACTAGTCAGTGAGGGCCTGGGCCCATAGTGGTTGCAGTTGAAAGTGAGGATGTGAACCTGAGAGATGCAACAAATGGAGAGCTCATAGAATTTTATTAATTTTATTATGAAGCATTCAGCCTTGTGGTTAAGGTTGCCATGGATTTCCCTTCTGTGCTGTACCTCCAGATAGAACTTATGAGGCACTCTCCCCCACCCACCAACACACACACACACACACATACACTCACACCCGTATAGTCTGTGGAGGATTCAAGTCCTCAGTACTTTGGATCCCAGAGTCAGGAGTCAGCGATTTGATTTTGTCAAAAAGACCGTCATAGCTGCTACCAGCGTGGTTGTTCTGTGAGTCCTGCCCTCGATCCCAGGTCTCTGCTGCCTCGCTCAATTCTGTGCATGGCCCGAGCTCCTTCATAAAGCGTCTCGTCCGTGCTGCTCCTTCCTGTCGCTTCTCTTTTCCCTCCACCTGAAGTTGTGGGAGCAGATTCTGCCTCCCACTTTCCCGTTCGGCCTCCTCGTCCACCCTGTTGTCCATCTCTTCTTGTCTCACATCTTTTGTGAAGGTTTACCCTGTACTTTTCCTATTTGTTTGTGACATTTATATTCCCGAATTCCCTCCCTTTCCCCGTCTCCCCAGGCCTTCCAAAGTTCTCGACAATTACAGCTGACATTTTCACAACTTCCCTGTCTCTCACCCCGTCCCCACCACGTCAGTGTAATTTGAGATTACACTGTGTGTATAGTTTTTATTCAGGCATTTTTTCACTTAGCAATTTATTGTGATCATTTCCCCTTATTGTTAAATATCCTTTCAAAACATGCTTGTTAGTTTTTGTTGTGTGGAATTCCTATAAATGAACCATTATCCTATTGAACATTTAGCTTCTTTCCTAATTTTTTACTATTAAACATTTGACCGTAAAACTTTGTGTTGTACACCGATCTTTCTTTGCATCTTTGATTGCCTTAGGATAAATTCCTAGAAGTGGAATTACTAGGATCAAAGGGTATAAGAACATTTATAAGACTCTTGATACAAATTGCCAAAACGACTTCTAGAAAGATTGTAAGGTGACTTTTTCAAAAGAAAAAATTAAAGTGCTTTTGAAGATTTAGAAGATCCTTTTTTTTTTCCCTTTTCACAGAGGACCGTCAAAACTTCACAGAGGGGAGATCAAGTTAAATTCAGAGCTAGACTTAGATGACGCCATTCTAGAGAAATTTGCTTTCTCAAATGCTCTTTGCCTTTCAGGTAAGTTACTACTGCTTAGCAGAGAAAGTACTGCATAGTTTTCTTTCCATGGAGGGAAGTTTAAGTATTTAGTAAAGATTTTAGCATGTTTTCACAGAATACTCAGCAAAGCCTTATCATGCCTTTTCCTTTTTTTTCTCCAAAAGAAAAAAATATATAGTATAAAGTATAAACTATAGTGTCTGTGCTGCAGTTTCTCATTCCTTATTAATTGTGTTGATAAAGTTGAACATCTCCAGAAATATATTAGCGTTATTATTATTATTATTATTACGTTTGTTTTCTCTTCCCTTCTCTCTGTGTAACTGTTAAGTCTTAGGTTGTCTCTAATCCAGGCAGAGAAAGCCCAGCCCTGTGACTGGGCAAAGGCCTCTGTGTAGAAAAATACACTCTAGTTTTTCACAGGAATGGGACAGTCAGTCACAGTGGCTCTAAGTTTTTTCTAGAAAATCCATGCACCTGAATAAAACTATAGAAGTTCTCTAAGAAATTTTTTTGCCCAGTCTACACTAGGCTGCTGCATGACTTGTCCATACCACTGTAGGAGGACTCAGGGACTTCTGAGCCCTACTCACAGCCCTGAGGAGTGCAAGGGGAGGCCGAGACAGCCTGGTTCCGGCCCCCTCTACAGAGCCGCCCTTCCTTCCGGGGTGAACCTCACACTCTGGGTTTCCAAAATGCAATATTAGAAAATCTAATTCTACCAAATGTAGCTTTGGTCTGCCACCGGGGCTTGGAAGTGTACTCAGTTTCTCCCATCTTTTTCCACTGAGTGCTAGCCTTTATAATACTAAATAACTATTCTTTAATTTCAGTTTCAAATTTTTAGCGCATTTGCTTCTTAAAGTATTGTTGAAATGGCGGTGAAGGTACTCTGCAATTATGCATTTTGTATAAGCATGAATATGATGATAAAGAAATGTTCCATTGTTAATTTTTTTTCCCCAGTGAAACTGGCTATTTGGGAAGCATCACTGGATAAATTTGTGGAATCTATTCAGTCAATTCCAGAGGTAATTATACCAGTTTTATGCTTGTTTTCAAAGATTGATTTCTATTTGGGAAGAATACAGATTTCTCACTATAACAGTATATTTAGGATTGCAATAAAGTAGGAATAAACACTAGGAAAGCTACACTGAATTTAAGCGAAAAAAGAAACCCCAGTTACATATAACAGGATTAAATAAGAAACCTCATGTTAATTTTTTTTTATTTTTTAAAACTTAACTTCAAATTACTTTCCTCTGATGATGCAGTATTTTTAATGTAACTGAATTCAAGAAATAAATTGAAATGTTTCCTCTCTAAGAAA